TGCTGCGGGGGTCGGCGTCGTTGGTTTCCGGGTCGTGGCTGTCGGTGCGCGGCAACAGCATCAGCGGCAGGCTCCTGTCGGTGCCGTCGTACCCGCGCAGTGCGGACCTTGTGCAGAGCACGCTGACGCTCCACGGGAACGCCGGCAGTGGGCCCGTTGTGATGGACGGCACCGTTGCGCTTGTGGGCGCCGGCCGAAGGTTCGTCGTGGGGTGCCTGACGCTCAACGGGCAGGTGCTGCGGCCGATGGACTACAGGTCCGCCGGCATCATCGGGGAATTCCGTCCCGTGGCGTGTGGGGTGTGCGACGCCGACGTGAGCTGCTTTGCCGCTGCGACGAGGGCGATGTCAGGGTCGTGCGGCTGCCGCTGTGCTGAGGGCGGGTACGGGCGCGACTGCCTGCCGGTGTACCTGCCGCACGTGGACGGGTGCAACCGCACGCCCGCTATGCCGCCGCTGAGCCACACGGCGACGCTGACGGAGACGCGCAGCCCGAAGCCAACGTGGACGCCGACGCCGAGCCTGAGCGCAACGCACTACAGCCCGACGCAGTACGGGCCGACGGAGACCCTGCAGGTGACGGAGACGGTGGCGCTGTTGCCCACGCGGACCCCGACGGCGTCGGTGAGCAGCACGCTGTGGTGGAGCGATGTGGCATGCCCTACGCTTACCGTGACGACGACGGCGGCTGGTGGGAGCCTGACGCAGAACGACATCCGCGGCGGTGGGAGCGCCGTCCCGACGCGGCTGATGGTGGCGCTGCCTCCGCCGTTTCGGTGGGCACGCGACCCGCAGCTCGGCACGCACCTGAGCTTTGTGCCTGTGTCGACGGCGCAGCCGCTTGGGTTTGGCGGTCCGTGGGGAGCGATGCTGCGCAACGCGACGTGGGTGCGCAACGCGACGAATCCGTCCACCGTCCTGGAGCTGGCTGTGCCCGTGCACCGCGGTTACTTCATTGCTTTCGACGAGACGATAGTCATTCGCTGCGGCGCTGCGGCGGTGTCCGGCGGCTGCAAGGGTGTGCTGCTTGGGTCCTTTACGATCAGGTCCGCCACGCTGCCCGCCGCTGCCAGCGTCCTCTCGGCGATCACCGGCGTTGTTGCGTGTGCGACGACTGTTGCGGTGGTGGTGACCGGCGGGCTGGGCTCCATCCTGGAGATGCAGGCGCTCGGCGTGTTTGCGAGGATGTCATGCGCCTCGGCGCAGGAGCGTGCGAGCACCGTTGCGCTGCCGTACTTCCTGTCGGTGTTTGCTGCCCTTGACCCGCTGTGGATGGTGGTGGGCAACGCGCTGCTCGCCGCTGTGTTCGGGTGCGTGCACTGCGGTGTGACGGTCGCCTTCGAGCGGTGGCGCGGCGTGGACGCGGCGAGTGCGTGGGCGGCGATGCGCTTCCCGAGCCTGACGTACGTTGTGGCGCACGCGATGCACCTCGGCATCTTCTTTGGCTCCGTGCTTGCACTGGCGATGCCCGGCGCCCGCGTGCAGCACCGCGTGATTGGTGTTGTTGGTGTGCTGTACGGTGTGGCGTTCCCTGCTGGTGTGTGCTACTTGATTGCCCGCCACACGGGCGCGAGCTTCGAGAGGTACTGGCAGTTTTCGAGGAAGCCGCTGCACGAGCGCCTGCTGTACCCCGTCGGGTATTGGTACCCCGCGGCGCAGCAGCGGATGTATGGCGGCATGCTGACGAACATGAGGGGCAGCCACGTGTACTGGTGTGTGTTCCAGCTGTCGGTGCTGTGCGTGGTGTGCCTGATTGCGGCTGTGCACCCGCCCGTGGGAGGCTGCCACGTCCAGTACTTCTGCATGGCGGCTGTGCTGCTTGCGGGTGCGGGCGTGGTTGCCTTCACGAACATGATGCGCTCGGCCTTCCTGACGGCGATGCGCACTGCGAGCTTTGTGCTCCTTGCTGTGCTGTGCGTGGTCAGCGCGGCCAACCACCTTGCGCCAAGCGACTGCGGTGCGAGGGCGTACGCGGCTATCGTGCTGCTGCTGACGACTGTGCTGCTTGCGGTCACTGTGTACAGCGTCGTTGTGTGGTACATGGAGGACCGCCACTGGCAGGAGCTGCGCGAGCCGCGGCGTGGTGTGCTGGAGGCGCTGCTGCGCGATGACGAGGAGAGCGACGAGGGGACGCAGAAGCCCCACGAAATGGCGTCATCGTCGTACGCCTCAGGCACCACCGTTGCGTCGTCGTACCAACCACCCGCACCGCCATCGCAGCCTATGGCCGGTGACACCCGCTCAGACGCACTGAGCCTGTTCGACCGTTCATCCAGTGCGAGCCGTATGATCAATTACGCTTCCATGTGACGTACGCCACGTGGAATTAGTAAATATGCGGTGCTTGAGGGGCCACGGCTGTGCTGCGCACCAGACAGTCGTCGTTAAAGGCACCTACAGTGTTGTTGGTCGTTGTTTCTATCAATTTGTTTTCATTTTGATCGGGTGCTTTCAGGAGTTTTTCCCGTTTCACGCTGACTGTGTGGAAGGGGATCGAGTTGTCGCTCTTGTTACTGCTGATGTTGTGTTGTATCGGACTGTAATTTCATGGAGTTGCGTGCGAGGAACCCAACGTTCAGTTTGTGCAATGGAGGAAGGATCCAGCGAACCGCCTAGTGGAAGTAATGAATTGCAGCTCTGCCTTACCGCGGGTTTACATGCAGGAAGCATTACAGTCCACAGGAGCAAGGCGGCGACAGAGTAGGAGCAGGTCTCCGGGTTTCCAGTAACGTCTTTGAGCGGGATTATGTATTGGGGCGCGACGCATTGTCGTAATTCCGGCTTATTTCGTTGTGGCGAGTGCACGGGGTGATTGATGTCTCTTTAGCGGTGGAAGTGACGGACCAGGCCATCCCAGTCACGTTCCACACTTGTCCTCGAGCGCACCGCTGCCATGGCAGGATCCCTCTCAGGTGTGCACGTGGAGCGTGGGGGCCTTGGATGACGCGGCATTGGGATTCGTTGCCCGTTACGGCCCGCAATTTTGTGTGTGCAGGAGGTGTGACGGCCACTTCCGGCAATTTGCACATCCCTTCACGGCGCTGCCTTTGATTTATTTGACGCACCGCCTTCCACAGGCAAGGGATGTTGTTGCGGATTGGCCACGCTGGTACGGGGATGCCTCCACGAGGAATTCCTTCTTTTTCCCAATTCCCCTATGGCCCTGCGAAATTCATGCACCACAGCAGGCACAGAGCGGTGTGGTGTTAGCACGGAGAGTACGATATTCACCGAGACTGTTTCCACGGCAGCGTGCGTCTATGCGCCTTCTCGTCGAATCGTGGAAGCACGCGAGCACACGTCGACGGTTCTGGATCACCTGGCGACTCACATCGTCGACGTACCCTTTTTTCTCGCCAGCAGTACCGCGTAGCGCACACACGGATGCAGCTTGCCTTTGGCCACTGCGACATACCCAAGAACGAGGCATGTGATGCATAAGCCGAGGAGGCGTCCGACCTCGCACAGCTCAGAGGCACATGGAGCACCGGCATCGTTTTCATTGGCCGAGGGTATTATTTGTGCCCGACAGCTCAAGCCAGAAGCTTGCCGCTCCACTGTATCAGGCGACTGGGAACCGACGCGCACGGACGCCACCCTCACTCGTGGGGAAGAGGCCGCACTGGACCGCCTCCGCACCGGAGTTTCCCACACAATACGGATGGCTGCTACGACCATTGCAACCCGCCATCCCACGCACATGCCGTTGGTGCGGCGCGGATGCCGCACAGCAGGCACGCAAAGAACTTTGCACGGAAACGCCTCCTCCTCCCGCTGGACCTCACCCCGCCACGATCCGATGCCCGGCAGACTGCCCGGTGTGCGGCAAGCACTGCAGTTGCTGCACTGGTGTCGTGACGCACATGGTTAACGCCCATGGCATTACGCGCTCTACCAGGCGCTGTGGAAGTTAACTTTCCCGGTGAGTCGGAACCGCCAGAAATCCCACCGGAACCACCGCCCAGCACTTGAGCGAGGACGAGAGCGAGAGACGGCACACCGATCGCACCTCCGCCGCAGACTGCACGGCCCAGGCCGAAGCCACTCCCATGCAGTTTCCGCACTGCGTCGTACGAAAGGCAAGCCGGAACCGTACTTTATCTTAGGCACTTCCACAAGCAAGACTTCCCCCGACAACTAGAAGGCGCTGCCGGGAATATGACGGTCTGACGGCATCCACCCCGTTCGAATGCACGTACTGTGAATTCGGGGCTCAAGCGAAAGCGGGACCAACATCCCGCATACGAGCACACGAACACTCCAGCACAGAGCCACGGTCGGCACCGAAGAAGGAAGCACTTCGTAAATGCCCTTGATGCGACAGGCAGGCGGGCAGTGCCGGGGGGTTGACCACCCACACACGGCACAAACACCCAACAGAAAGAAAGTCGGGACACTAAAAATGGAGATTAAATAGCCACGCACTGCAAGGCTTGAACCTCCGCATGAAGAACATCAAACCCACACAGAAACCCCGCCTCTGCACAGGAGGAGAATGCCACCGAGAAACAGTGCACCGTGTGCCTAAAATGGCACGCACAAGCATGCGTTGGTGGACGTCACGCTGTCGCCGATTTCACGACGGCAGAGGGGTCAGGCCGCCGAGAAGACGCACTTTGCCCGGTGACGACAGCCCGATGGGATCCCCACCAGTTTAGTTTCGCCGTCCAGCATGCGGGTGTCAGTGCCACAGCAATGCCTGACTGACCCGCTACCGCACGGCACGCCACGGGCATCGACCAGGCATTGTGAAAACCGGCCGACTGGAACTGTGCGGAGGGGCAGGTCGGCATTTACTCCGCTGCCCGGCTCTGCAGGCGCCCAGAAAAAAGCATGGAGCGGACATTGGAGAAGTGGGGAAGCCGTGCTTCACGGAAATATTGGTGTGTCTCCACTTTGAA